TTCCACCACTCCCTTTCAATGACAGTTTTTCAATCAGAGATGCTCCTTCAGTTAGTCTCTCTACAGCACTTCTGACCTACCAAAGAGCCAATGTAAGTTTTTAATACCACAGCACTGTGGCATAGCTTCCCATATGGGTGCTGGCTCATGTCTCAGCTGCTCCCCTTCCAATACAGCTCTCTGCTAATGGCCTTGGAAAGCAGGGGAAGATGGCCCAAGTGCTAGGGTCCCTGCACCCACGTGGGAGATCCGGAAGAAGCTCCTGGCATCAGACTGGCCCAGCCCTGGCTGTTGCAGCCATTTGGGGAGTAAACAAGTGGATGGAAACCTCCTTCTCTCTCAAATAAATATTTAAATTTTTTTTTAAAAACCCACAGCATAAAAATAGTGTTTTGCTCAGTGAAAGGATGAATACCAACCCAGCAATTCTGTCTCATGGAGTCTTCCTACAACATTATCTACATTATGTCAAGGGATTTCTGGTCTTGGAAAGTATTATAGGTCAGCATATGTTCACTGGTCACATGATCGAATTCTTAGAACTACAGCAGGTTACTTTTTTTCCTATTCAATAATCTATTACCTAAGAAGTATGACCACTTATCCCATGTTGCCAAGGACTGTCCCTGAATACCTGTTGTCATAGGCCCTGGGCAGTTAAGTATCTCTTTTACTCTCATACTTTTTATGTCCCAGTTTGGACCATGTAATAAATTATAAGCTTACATGGTAACTGTATTAGCTATCTCAGGCTGCCATAACAAAATACTATAGATCAAGTGGCTTAAACAACAGAAAATCTATTTTCTCACAGTTCTGAAGATTAAAAGTTGGAGATCAAAGTGCCGGCTGGGTTGGTTCTTGGTGAGGCTTTTCCTCCAGGCTTGCCTGTGAAAGCCTTCTTGCTGTGTCCTCACATGGCCTGTCCTCTGTGCACGTGGAGAGAGTGCTCTGGTATCTCTTCCTTTTATACAGACATCAATGCTACTGGATTAGGGCCCTACCCGACCTGATTTATCCTTAGTTATTTCCTTAAAGGCCCTATGTCCAAATTCGGTCATTTTGGATTTAGGGCTTGTAACATGAATTTGGGGAGGACAAAATTTGGTCCTTAACAGTCACTCTTGAATACAGTATGTAATTTGACCAGTATCCTGCTTTAGCAGTACATAAAAGTAATCACTGAATTTGGTATTGAGCAATCCTAACCTTACAACCTCAAATAGAATATAAAACATATTTCAGTAATATTATACCAAACTCTTGTGTTGACTTTTTGTCTTAAATCTAGAAGTTCAAGATTTAAGCTTTAGATGATCTCAGTTAGGCACCAGCATCTCATTCACTCTTTGAACTCAGTACCCTTCATCCTCTTTAAATTGCCATTATCCAAGACCCTAGATATTATTCCACCCCAGACAAGTACAGCAAATTCAATTGGTGTCTGCCCACTGGATACCCCGAGTCTTTATTTTTCTTGGTTGGAAAACAAATAGGAGTTTCACTTGCTCCACCTCATCTAAAAACTAATCCCAACACCTCAAATTTTCCAAAGGTCCTATTGCCTACTACCCAATCTTCCTACCAAATTCTGTGATGGGTTAGTTTCTGTAGCTGCAAGAAACTGCCCAGCAATGAAGTACTGAAATGATAATAGGTGATTATGTGATTTCAGGAATCATATTTGTGGAAAACATAAGATCCAGGGTGGCTCCAAAGATCACAGCCACAACACTGGCATCATTTAAGGAGCTGCCATTGAATGACACAGATTCAAATGACTTTCAAATTCCAGATCTGAAAATGGGATTGGCCAGGTCAGAACCATATGGTAGAATGTGTGCAATTACCCAGAAGTTAAACGTAAGACACGAGAAACAGCCAAAAGAAGGAAACTGGGCAGAGAGAGAGATGCCTTCTCTAACAAGTACTTTAATTTTTGGTTTTATGAGTTTGCACTACAATGCAGGTATGTTATTTTATCATTTAGTAGTACATAACTATCTTTCTATGGCTATTTACATTTATATTTGTTTTTTAAACAGTTGTAAAAATTCAACTTAATGAAAACCTTGTAATTAATTTACCCATTACCCTAACTGATGGATATTTAGGTTGTTTCTAAGTTTATCATTAAAAAACTTTTCTTTTTGCCATTATACATTTATCTACCTCTATAAACTGGTTTCTGAGAACACTGATTCAAGTGGTATACATACAGCAATGTATATAAACAACAATGGCACTGTCTTATTCTCTACACATTTGCCAACACAGGATATTATCACTCTTCTGCAATCCAAAATCAATCTTTTTAGGGAAAAGTATGTATTTCACTTTAATTTGCATTTCCTTGACTATTTGGTGACATTGGCTAATTTTCATTAGTTTCCTGTATTTTATCTTCTGTGAACTAGCAATTAACTTTCTCCACTAAGTTGCAGGTGTTACTTTGAATATTAAGGATTATTGTCCTTTGTTTTAATTGTAGCAAACACCTACAGTCTCTCATTTGCTGCCATTTTCCACTGCATAAATTTTATACAGCCAAATATCAACTCCTGCTATAATGCGTATGATCTATCTCAAATCAAGATTACAGAAATATTAGTTTTCCTTGTACTTTAATGCTTTACATGTCAATGTAATTTTTTAAACTTACTTGAGAGGCAGGCATAGGGGAAGAGAGTTGGTGGCTCCCATCCACTGGCTCACTCCACATATGCCTGCAGCAACTGGGACTGGGCAGCAATGAAGCCAGGAGCCAGGAACTCAATCCAAGTCTCACAGGCGGGTGGCGGGGACCCGATGACTTGAGCTATTAGCCCTGCCTCCCAGGGTCTGCATTAGCAGGAAGCTGGTACTTAACCCCGGTACTCCAACATGGAATGCAGGCATCTTAACTACTAGGGTGAATGCCCATCTCACACATTTAGATATTTACTCTTCTAGATCTTCATTAGTGTACAAGGTCAAGGCCTTTTTTTCAGTGAGTTAATGTCCCAATGGCATCTGAGCAACCCCACTGAAATGAAAAATTCTTTGTATGCTTGTATTCATTTGATTTATTTAAATAGGACCAACGGAGGGAAGAAGGGAGGGAGAAAGAGGGAGAGACACTGACTGTCCTATCTGCCCACAGGTCAGACTGTGCCAGGAGCTGGGGACACTACATGGGTGGCAGAGCCCCAACAACTTGAGCCACCCTCTGTTGTCTCCCAGGGTGTGCATTAGCAGGAAGCTGGAATAAGGAGTAGAGTCAGGACTTGAACCCAGACATTCTAATATGGGAGTAAGTATCCCAAGCAGTCTTAACTGCTGTGCCAAAGCAGTTTGAAGGCTTCATATACTCTAGGTAAGACTGCCATGCTGAGCAACCCCACTCACCCCACCCCCTGCTGGCCTACATGCATCCATCAATAGAAGAGGGAGTGCCAAACCTCCATTTTCCAGTAGTAATTTGCTGAGTAAGAGCTCACCTCACATGGCCCTCTATACTGCCACAGATAGCAGTCAAAAGGGAATACTCCAGAAACTGTCCCTCCAATGGTGGGAGTAGCTACTAAAAAACATGGAATTTCTTTTTGGGTCAATGAAAATGTCCTAAAATTGATGATTTTAGGTTACCCAACTTTGTGAATACACTAAGACCACTGAATTGTACACTTCATTGGAGCTATCTCTTCACTTCTGTTGAGGGAGGCAGAGGCTAGGGGGATGCGTAGTCTAATCTAAAATTTTGTTATATGAATTATATCACAATAAAGTTATTACCAAAGTAAGAGATACCCTTCCACCAGCCTCTGAATCACCATTTATGAGTGAACAGAAACCTCATGATCATTGTTACACCTTCAATTCGCCCATCCTTCAACAATGAAAGTATTAAATATCCGCCTTAGGACCCCCATGACGATTCTCATCCGGTCCTTAACGTCTGACAGTTACCTCCAGTTCTCCCCTCCCCCTTCACTTTTAATGACCATACATTCTGGAGCTAGCATGATACTCCCCATCCAGCCCTCCCTCGCTCCTTCTTTTCAATTATTTCTCTTTGTGGCACATATCATATATTGATCATGGTATTTATTTTTTATATTCTCCCCCTAGATTTGTGAAGTCAAAAATTTTTATCATCAGCACTTAAAAGTGCCTGACACATTGGTGTTTAGTCAACAGTCACTGAATAGAGTACTGATTCCAGTATAAACTATGTTCCTTATTATCATCATTAATCTACAGATAAACAGAATCGGCTTGTCAACTAATAAATGTATTAGAGTTTTTACTGGAGTGTCAGTGGATTCACACACTTAGAGACAAACATCTTTACCTGAGCCTTTCTACACAGAGACAAGTCTAGCCTTATTCATGTTTAAAAATAACCTGTAAGTTTTAATATCTACAAATTGCAGAGCATGTTTTTCCTGTTTGGGTATGTAATGTCAATCTAATGGAACAAGATGAGAATTTTATTACATTTCTAATGCATGAAGAATAATTTGAACACCAAAGGAATTAATTGTCTGGTGCTTTCTTGAAAGGTCAAAGCACTGTTACCCTTTTAATCCATGGTTATTAAAGTCTTCTAGATTGTCAGTTAATTTTGTTAATAGATAGCACTAAGTTTTATGAAACATTTTTGTTCTACCTGGCTTACTCTCTAAGTGTAAGCTGAGCTAAGAATTCCTCAATACCAATGCTACATGTCCTCATACTCATACTCAGGGAGGGGTAAACCCACTATCTAGTGCATCATATGTATTTTCTGAGAGTATTCATCTGGGTGTAGCGTCTTCTGTCCTAAAATCTGTAGCTTCTTAGACTTGACGTACTGGGTCACTTACTTACAGCTGGAAGCCTTTCACTGAGGAGCTCTGATCTAGCATTTCAACACTAGCTGTATGCTAAGGATTGTGTGCTAAACCTTCAAAATGGAGCTTCTATTATACTTTTCAATGCAAGTTGTTTTAAATGGGAAAATAGCATGACTATATATATGTGTGTGTATATATATGTGTATACTTTTATTTTTAAAATGTTAAATGGCTACAGTGTTAAAATGCACTTGGGAGGAACAAGAGGAGTAACAGTTATACTACTGCAGAAATCCATCTTAAGACTGATGATGGGACACAGGCAGGAGAAAAGTGGACTGACTTCAGAGGCACGGAGAAGAGTAATCTATAGGACTTCGTGGCAGGAAAGGAAGGAGGGAATTGAGGCTGACTCCCCAGTATGAATCTGCAGGTGATGAGCAAGATGGACACTCTGCCGGAAGGATTTTCCACATTCTTTACATTTGTAGGGCCTTTCTCCAGTATGAACTCTCTTATGGAGTGTAAGATGGGCAACCTGGCTGAAGGCTTTGCTACACTCCTTACACTCGTAAGGTTTCTCTCCCGTGTGAATTCTCTGATGCAGGGTGAGGGATTTACGATGGCTAAAAGCTTTCCCACAAACATTACATTCATAAGGTTTCTCTCCCGTGTGACATCTTTGATGACAAATCAGAGATGCCCTCTGTCTGAATGCCTTCCCACATTCAGGACACTCATAGGGTCTTCTGCCAGTGTGGAGTCTCTGATGTTGAACAAGATATGAACCATCACTAAAGGCCTTCCCACATTCAGTACATTCATAGGGCTTCTCACCAGTATGAACTCTCTGGTGCTGAACAAGGTGTGCAACCTGACTGAAGGCCTTTCCACATTCCTGACATTCAAAAGGTTTCTCTCCAGTATGTATTTTCTGATGTTGTGCAAGATGTGCATTCTGGCTGAAAGTTTTGCTGCAGTCCTTACATTCATAAGGTTTCTCTCCAGTATGCACTCTCTGATGATGAGCAAGGTGTGTGCTCTGCCGAAAAGCCTTCCCACATTCCCTGCATGCATAGGGTTTCTCTCCAGTATGGACTCTTTGATGGAGAGTAAGGGAGCCCCGGTGGCTGAAGGCTTTCTCACAGACGTTACACCCATACGGTTTTTCTCCTGTATGAATTCTCTGATGTACAGTGAGGGATGAGCCATGGCTAAAAGCCTTCCCACACACGTTACATCTGTAAGGTCTCTCTCCAGTATGAATTCTCTTATGCTGAATAAGTCCTATGTGATCAGTGAAAGCCTTCCCACAATCAATACAATCAAAGGGTTTCTCTCCAGTATGATAATATCGCCGATGACGGATAAGAGAAGCATTCTGCCTGAAGGCCTTCCCACAGTCAATGCATTCATAGGGTCTTTTCCCAGTATGGATCCTTCGATGATGAGCTAAGGATGAGCAATCACTAAATGCCTTCCCACATTCAACACATTCGTAAGGTTTCTCTCCAGTATGAACCCTCTGATGCTGAGCAAGATGTGCAAGCTGGCTGAAGGCTTTATGACACTGCTTACACTGATAAGGCTTTTCTCCAGTGTGAACTCTCTGATGCTGGATAAGATGAGCATTCTGGTTGAATGCCTTCCCACATTCAGTACATTCAAAGGGTTTTTCTCCTGTGTGTATCCTCTGGTGCTGAGCAAGATGTGCACTCTGGCTAAAGGTCTTCCCACACTCGATACATTCAAAGGGTTTCTCTCCAGTATGAATTCTTTGATGAAGAGTAAGGGTTGAGAATCTGCTGAACATTTTTTCACAGTCATTACATTTTAAAAGTTTTTTTTCTCCAAAGGTTTTCTTGTATTTTTTCACAATTGAATGTGTTGATAAACTTTTCTTTTCTATATCAAAATCATATATTTTCTCTCCCTTGGGAAAAATCTGTCTTATATAAGATAGCTTATTCAGGTGAAAAAACGTCTCTGATTTGTTAGAGTGGTCTCTTTTCTCAGTAAGGGCTTCCTTATGAGTCAAAGTCTCTTGCCCAAAATGTGCTTTCTGACTTACCAGTTCCCTCTCAAACAGGCCTTCACATTTCCAGCTTTCCTGTAATGTGGAACGTTCAAAGTTATAGTTTGTAAGTCTTTCCATTATTACTGCCTTGGATACTTTTTCCTTATCAATGTTCTGGTTCATAGATAATTTCTTGGCCACCCACACATACTCCAAGTCTGAAAGACATTAAGAACACAAATATCACCTTTATTAAATCCTAGAATGGAAATTTCCAAAATGAATCATGTAAATCCAATAGTTATTGAAACCCACAGGAGGTTAACAGTTCTTAAGACAAGAGATGCAACTATTCTTGCATTCCCAGAATAAACCCTCATTGGCTGTAGTATATTATTTCAAAATAACTCTTAAGATTTTGCATGAATATTCATAATTATACAAATGTCTGTGATTTCCTTTTTTGGTGCTATTTTGATAGTGTTGATATCAAGTGTTATGCTGTTTTCATAAGCAAAATATTTTTAAGGTCTCCCTTTTATTTTACATCCTGGAATGTTTTAGATAACACTGATGGTATTTTTCCTTAAATGTTTTAAATAACTGATCTGTGGAACTACTTGAGGTTTTAGCTTTTCTTGGAAAGACAGTTTATGGGCAACTTCCTATATTTATTTGACAGTAACTAGCCTGTTTAAATTTTTTTTTTAACCTCAAGGTGGGCATTTGTCACAGTGGTTAAGAGGCCACTTGGGATGCCTATATGCCATGTCTGAGTGCCTAAATTTGAGTCCAGGCCCTGCTTCTGATTCCAGCTTTCTACTAACGTACACCATGGGAAAATGCAGTGATGTCTCATGTCATTGGGCTCTTGATATCCACGTGGGAGATGCAAACTGAGTTCCAGGCTCCCACCTTCAGCTTGGGGGAGATCCAGCTGTTGGCAGCATTTGAGGAATGACCAGTTGATAGAAGGTCTTTGTCTCTCTTTCAAATTAAATGAATTAAACTTATTTTAAATCTCTGTCTTCTTGAATATGGTAATTGATATTTTTATATTTTCCTAGAATAGCATGCATCTCATTTAGCTTTTCAAACTAGATAGTTGAAGAAAATAGATTTATGATCCTTTTAAGTTCTTACACATTTGTGTTTATCATTATTTCTTTGTTGTGTTTCCTCTCATTTGCCCTGATGGTTTATATATTTTAATGTTTCTCTAAAGAAGTACATATCTATTTTAATTAGATCTATTATTTTCTATTTATTGGTATTTTTAGCTCTAAAAGTGTAACTCACCATATACAACTTATTTTGGTTTCTCTTAGATTCATTTTGCTCTTATTATAGTGCCTTTAATTGCATGCTTATTTTAGTTGTTTCTTCATTTAAAAATACTTGTTTTTTATTTGAAAGGCAGAGAAACAGAGATACAGAGACAGAGATGGCAGGCAGATAGAATTATTCCATCTGCTGGTGTACTACCCAAATGCCTACGACAGTCAAAATATAGCCAAGCTAAAGCCAGGAGCCAAGAACTCAATCTCTGTCTCCCCCGTGGGTGCCAGGGACTGGAGTTGAGCTGTCACCTACTATCTTGGAATGCACCTCAGGAGAAAGAATTGGTAGTAAACCCAAGAGTTGAATTCAGGCAGTTCGACATGGGATGCAGGTGTTCCAAGCAGTGTTTTAAGCACTGTGTCGAATGCCTGCTTCAATTATATTCACATCTTATTTATTAAGGACTACAAGTGACCTGCCAAAACTCCTCTTCAAACTCTGAGGGCTGAAAGCAGGAAAAGGCCACACCACAGGTCACAGAATAAACTGTGATCATCACAGTTGGTTCCTTTCCTCATAATATATACCTATAGTTCATATCTAGCTTTCAAAACCAGAAAAATAGCTAAGAAGCAAGGCAGGAAAATAACAAGTAAAAACAATTTGAAGAAAACTGGGCCAATAATCCAAGTGTGGACAATATATGAGGGTACTTCATGCATACTTTTGAAAATAATTTATCTTTTCCATGAGCTTTTATAAGATCCCTTCTAAGTGGGGAAATGGTGGACATAGAAGAGGGAGGCAATATTTGTGAGCTAATTTTTTAATCTTTCATGTGGGTCTTAAAAGATGATGTTCAGAAATTCAAGTGGATGAGTTTTAACATAGAATTTTAAATATATAAAGATATAATAAATGTTAACAACTTGTAAAACTAAAAACCTTTTCAATTCAAGGAGCAAGGTACTATGAAGGGGAAATAAGAGAAAACAGACAAAGGCAACAAAGCAAGAAGAAAGGAGAAAAAATAAGTAAAGGCAAAGGAAAGAATATAGCTATTAATACATATTAGGAATGGGCATTTTGGTGCAGGGGGTTAAGCCACTGCTTGGGATGCCCACATCCCACAATGGAGTGCCAATTAGAATCCAACTACTCTATTTCCAACCCAGCTCCCTGCTAAAATGCCAGGAGAGCAGCAGATGATGGCTTAAGTACTTGAGTTCCTGCCACGCAGGAAACATGAATGGAGTTCTAGGCTCCTAGCTTCAGGCTAGTCCAGTGCTGGCTGCTGTGCCATTTGGTGAGTGAACTTCCAGCAGATGGAAGACCTCTGTCACTCTGTCTTGGAAATAAATAAATACATCTTATTAAACAAACATGTTAACACAATAAACTAACCTTTTCAAGAGAGGAAAATAATATTTAAATCAGTTCAAAAGATTAAACACAAGTTACTTTAAAGAATTCAGAAATGATTAAGTTCAAGAACAGCTATAAAAATATGGTGCTGGAGTAGAAGCAGGGAGATGGGAGAAAAGAATTCAGAAATAGAATCTGGTACATACGGGAAATCTGGTAGCTAAGAGCCAAGATGGCATGTCACACCAGTGAGGAAGAGAAGAACCACTCAACAACTGCTGGTAGAACAAGTTTCAACTTGGAAGAGTGTTGGAAAGGTGTTTCGGTTTTTTTAAGATTTATTTTACTTGAAATTCAGAGTTTCAGAGAGAGGGGAGAGAGAGGGAGGGAGAGAGAGGAAGGGAGAGGGAGAGAGAGAGAGAGAAAGAGAGACAGACATCTGCTGGTTCATTCCTCAAATAGCCACATCAGCCAGGGCTGGACCAGGCTGAAGCCAGGAGCCAGGAGCTTCACCTGGGTCTCCCACATGGGAGCAGGGGCCCAGGGACTTGGGTCATCTTTTGCTGCTTTTTCAGGCGCATTTGCAGGGAGCTGGATTGGAAGCAGAGCAGCTGGGACTCCAACCAGTGCTCAAATGGGATGGTGGCATCACCATCACAGCTGGTGGCTTAACCCACTACGCCGTAACGCCAGCCCTGAGAGGTTTTCCGAAAAACATCAGAGAGAACAAACATCTTGAGCATGGTTCTCCCAGACCTAGTTGTCCTGCACTCACCTGGGTACAGGCCTCTCGTCATGTCTCCTGTTACCACCCAAGGCTCTTTCTCTTGCTCCAGGAGGGAGATCATATCTGGTTTGGAAATGCAGAGACCTGCATATAAGAAAAGACAGGTAAACTGGTGATGCTGCAGGTATTCCAGAGCCATGACTGATTCCAGGTGGCTTTGACGGGAGAGGGGTATTTTAGGGAAATGCCAAGAGCACTGAGTCAAGGGGAGGCAAAAGGACGATTATATTCTTACCCACTGAAACGAGGTTCCTGTAGTTCTCCAACATCACCTTCCTGTACAAACTCCTCTGGGCAAGGTTCAGCCACTGCCACTCATCTTCAGAGAAATCTATGGCCACATCTGTGAAAGTCAGGGAACCCTAAATTGATACAAATAGAACTGTGTTCAGTCAATGCTCATGCCCTTATGTGGCTCAAGGTTAAAGGTTATGCTACTCTCACTTTGGGATAGAAACACTCTGAGTAATCGCACCAAGTGTCCAGAGGGTTCAGGTCAGTTAGTTAGGAGTTTTCTGTCCAGTTATCTTGTACATAGTATAAAAAAAGAAGAGAGACACTCTCCAGTCTTCAAATATTTACAATTCAATGGCTGTAATAATACATTACCACATGAAAAATAACGTTGATATGTTCAAAACAACTTAACTGGGGCTGGCACTGTGGCATAGCAAGTAAAGCCGCTGCCTGCAGTGCCAGCATCCCATGTGGGCACTGGTTTGAGTTCCGGCTGCTCCACTTCTGATCTAGTTCTCTGCTATGGCTTGGGAAAGCAGTGGAAGATGGCCCAAGTCCTCGGGCCCCTGCACCCATGTGGGGACCCAGAAGCAGCTCCTGGCTCCTGGCTTTGCATCGGCCCAGCTCAATCTGTTGCAGCCACTTGGGGAGTGAACCAGCGCATGGAAGACTTGTTCTCTCTCTGCAAGTCTTTCAAATAAATAAATCTCAAAAAAAAAAATAATCAAGTGCTAAATTATGTTATCTACGTTAGCAGCTGGATCACTGTTCACATGGACAAATAAGAGTTCTGGAACTCTAATGGAAAGTTACAAGGAAGGATGCTGACCTGATGAACACAATTTCAAACTCCATGATATTTTCTAAGAAATCTTAATGCTCTTTACAATGAGCACTGTGTCTAAAAAAAATAAAAGAAAAAATACCTAGCAATATGTTTTCTTTTTATATAAAAATATATTTATGTTAGGAGAGAATTACTTGTTTGGAACATTTTTTGATAACCTGCTGAGAAGTATCAGGAGAGATCATGTGATATGAGCACATGTCAGGAAACCTGTGTTTTGTTACATGGGCTGCATTTCCTAACCAATCAGCAAGGTGATGGCATTCATCCATTCCATAGTCACTTATATCAAAACCTAAGTAAAAGAGTTTTAAATCATACCAGACTTGAATGAAACTTGGAAAAAGGTCAGGTTAATCCAAATAATTCTGACTGTGATACTGACTACCCAGGTGGTTGTGGCCTAGTTAATTAAATCCCTTGTACGGCACTCTACTTTCTCTTCTAGTTTTGTGACTATAAGATATAACTGTCAAATATTTTGGTATTATTCCATAGGGCTCCAAGTCTCTAATCTTTTTTCTCTGTTGTTTGTAATAGATGATTTGTATTTATCTACAAGTTACTAATTCTTTCTTCCGTCAACTCCATTCTCTAATTTAGTCCATCTAGTGAATTTATTTCCATTTTAATATTTTTCATATCTTATTTTCTATTTCTTTGAGGAGAGTGTTCATCTTCCATTAGTTTCACGACTGTTCAATCTTACTTGCTAAAGCATTTTATAATACCTGCTACAAAATCTTTACCAGATTAATCCCAACATTTGTGTCATATCAATATTAGCATCTGTTGTCTTTTCCCCTGTGAATTGAGGTTTTCCTGTTTTTTGTAAGCTGAGTAATTCTGGATTATATCCTTGACATCCTGGATATTGTTATGACTGTGTCTTGTTTAAATTCTATGGAGAATTGGCCGGCGCCACAGCTCAATAGGCTAATCCTCCACCTAGCGGCGCCGGCACACCGGGTTCTAGTCCCGGTCGGGGCGCCGGATTCTTTCCCGGTTGCCCCTCTTCCAGGCCAGCTCTCTGCTGTGGCCCGGGAAGGCAGTGGAGGATGGCCCAAGTGCTTGGGCCCTGCACCCCATGGGAGACCAGGAGAAGCACCTGGCTCCTGCCTTTGGATCAGCGCGGTGCGCTGGCCGCAGCGCGCCAGCCGTGGCAGCCATTGGAGGGTGAACCAATGGCAAAAGGAAGACCTTTCTCTCTGTCTCTCTCTCTCACTATCCACTCTGCCTGTCAAAAAAAAAAAAAAAAATTCTATGGAGAACATCAATTTTTTTTTACAGGCTGCTGGTTCCAACCAGTGTTGTGTGGGTTGTGTTTGAACATCAGTTCCATTTTCAAAGCCTTTGAAGTAATACGCTCTGTCCTGATTGTATACCAAGCAGCAGCCAGCCTAAGAAGTGGACAGTAGTCTATTCCTTAGTTCACTTCTAAAAGCCTCTGATATTTTATACGTACAACTGTTGTGTGTCAATTTAAGAAAAAGATTATGGTATTATGATCTTTAGGGTCAGACACACACATGAGCAGCTCACAGTAAGCCCAGGAGTTTGTAAACAATTTTAAGTGGTTGATTTCCAAAATCCATCCCTCACTGTCCTTCTATTAGGGTATTAAAAATATTAATACTAAAAATGTTCTGAAATTGTGTAAGTCTGAGAAATTCTAATCCACAAGGAATGAAAAGCCAGGATTTAGTCAAAGAAAATAATCAGAGATGAGGGCAAAATTCAACTAAAAGTATGATCATTTTAACATGCTTGATTAAATAATAGTACATTAACAACAATTTCTTTTGGAACAGCAGGGAGCTGACTAAACATATTACTAAATGACTACTAAGTATCATAGTTACTAATATAATTAAATACATTATTAAGCTGATTAAATATTTTATTAATTATATATATAGATATAGATATATAGAACATTCTTTGTCACTTCAATGTCATTTGAAGATTCTCATGACTACAGAGTTAAGTGGGGAGAGAGAAAAAACCTCTACATACTCTGGCCAGAGTGCCATCCATTTTAACTGGACCTGCAGATTTCTTCTACTTCCTTCAAGAAACAATTCGGGAATTAATTATTTTGTGAAGTCCTCCCAATCCTTCTTCCCTGCAACGATATGGTTGTGCGGACTATATCCTGCATAGGGATTCTCTCACCAAGGAGGCAAGAAGGGGCTACAATAGACTCCCACTTGCCAGGTTGTCACACAGCTTCACCAGTCTAGAGGAAGGGCACTTTCTCTTCTAAATCACTGAAAGGAAGCACGAAGACCACGGATGACACATTCCCACAATATTCCACAACTCACCACTACAGGTGGAGAGAAATACAGGCAGAGCACACTCATCACATTGTACAATTATTTGCTGCCTTTTCATTTCTCTAACAGGTTGTAAGCTCTCTGATAGTCAAGGCTGGGACTTAAGGACCAGGTAATAGCGGTTCTCAAATCTCCTCCAAAGAATCCTGCTCTGTCAGATGCCTATGAAAAGACTAAGCACAGGGACAGATGCAGATTGTGTCACTTCCTCTGTGAAAAATAAACATCAAGGGGCTGGCACTGTGGCACAGAGGGTAAAGCCGCTGCCCGCAGTGCCAGCATCCCATATAGGCGCCAGTTCGAGTTCCGGCTGTTCTACTTCTGATCCAGCTCTCTGCTATGGCCTGGGAGAGCAGCAGAGGATGGCCCAAGTCCTTGGGTCCCTGCATCTGCCTGGGAGACCCAGAAAAGCTCCTGGCTCCTGGCTTTGGATTGGATCAGCCCAGCTCCAGCCATTGTGGCCATTTGGGGAGTGAACCAGCAGACAGAAGACTTCTCTCTCTGCCTCTGCGTAACTGCCTTTCAAATAAATGAATAAAATCTTTTAAAAAATAAATAAATAAGTACCAGTGCTGTGGCATAGCGGGTAAAGCCGCTGTCTGCAGTGCCAGCATCCTATATTGGTGCCAGTTCAAGTCCCTGGCTGCTCTACTTCCGATCCAGCTATGGCCTGGGAAAGTAGTGGAAGATGGCCCAAGACCTTGGGCTCCTGCACCCACATGGGAGACCCGGAAGAAGCTCCTGGCTCCTGGCTTCGGATTGACGCGGCTCTGGCCATTGCATCCACATGGGGAGTGAACCAGTGGATGGAAGACCTCTCTCTGCCTCTGCCTCCCCATAACTCTGCCTTTCAAATAAATAAATAAATCTTTAAAAAATAAATAAATATCAGGTAGGGAGAAGGGACATCTGAAAAGGCACTGGCTGGCTAAGTCTATTCCTGTGGCTCCATCATTCATCAGAAATGGAAGAACTCAAAAACAGCCATACTATGGAACTCTTACGTCGTTTTCAGATGGGAACAAATACTATCAAATCTTGGAATGGGGGAGATCATACTTTAGAGACGAGAGAGCACTCTGATTTACCGGGGTCATGGCTTTAAGAAGTTCAGCTCCTGCCTTTTTTACCTCTTCTTGACTTTTCATCTGGAGAAGGGCTTCACTGTGAGAGGGCAAAGCTGGCAGAGGAGAAAAGAATACGGAGAGACTGAGTAGCTCTAATAATCACAGCACAGAAACGCTCGCTGCCCTTCAGCTTCTGCACCCCCACCCCCACCCCACCCCACCCCACCGCCCTCCCAGACGCACGTCCAGGCACTTGTTCTGAGACTGTAATTACAACTGGGGGTTCCTTGTGTTCTGAACACTTTCTCTCTTGCTCTCCTTTTCTCTCTCAAACCCACACATTCATTACTAACAAAGATACCAGAGGGGCTTTCCAAAAGCTCAAGGAAGATGCAGGTTGTGAAAAAAAAATCACCTGGATTCATTTTTTGCACCAAATAAACTCACAGCACCTCATATGTTTGAACAAGATCTAGTCTGAGGCACTAAGAAGGATGAGGCCTCACTTTACAAACAGTCCCTTTGACAGCAACATACATTTTACTAAAATTGAAGCAAGAACAAATATCTAATTTATAGTGAAGCTTGGGTGGGAAAATGCTAAAACACTGATACTTAAGGAAATGTTTATGGAGATAGTGGTCCAAAGAAATCAGCACTTACAAACAGGCACCTCATTTTAAAAAGGGACCAGAAGATGCTGAAGGCAAAGCCTCTAGCAATATACCATCCACATCAACTTGCACAAAAAAATTAACCCTGTGTCCTACCTGCAGACGACTGATGACTGACTGCAGAGACAACAGCCAATACCACAACTGGTTCAAAATACTGACTGAAAAATTAAAGTTGAGCCAATTTGCTGCTTGATGGATGCCAAAATTGTTGCACCCAGATCAGCTACAGTTGCATCCAGAACAGTTATAGAAAAGAGCAAACCTTTCAATGGAAGTCTGTTATTTTTATAATCTTTTTTTAAAATTTGATAAGCAAACACACACACTTTGGGGTGGGGTGAGAGAGGGAGAGAGAAAGAGGGGAAAAGGGAGAGAGACACACACACGCAGAGTTCCCGTCTGCTGGTTCATTTTCCAAATGCTCACAATGGCTGGGACTGGGCCACGGCCGATGCTGGGAATAGGAACTCAATCCAGGTCTCTCACATTGGTGGCAAGGATCCAACTACCTCAGCCAGGGTGTGCAGTGGCAAGAGCTGGCATCAGGAACTGGAGTGGGGACTGAACCCGGGCATTTATGGGCCATGGGCACCTTAACTGCCAGGCCAAATGCCCATCATTCAATAGAAATTTTAAACAAGCACATTCAAGATCCTAAAGCGTTTCTCCAAAAAAATTATGAGATAAACCGTGGCTGTAGCAGTATGATCCTGATGACAAACCGTAATAAAAGCAATGGCTATCAAGAAGCAGAAGAGGTCTAGCCAAAGCAGAAGCGGACCAGTCAAGGGCAAAGGCCACAGCAACATTTTTTATCTGATTTTTTTTTTATTTTTTTTTATTTTTTGACAGGCAGGGTGGACAGTGAGAGAGAGAGACAGAGAGAAAGGTCTTCCTTTGCCGTTGGTTCACCCTCCAATGGCCGCTGCGGCCGGCGCACCGCACTGATCCGATGGCAGGAGCCAGGAGCCAGGTGCTTTTCCTGGTCTCCCATGGGGTGCAGGGCCCAAGCACCTGGGCCATCCTCCACTGCACTCCCTGGCCACAGCAGAGAGCTGGCCTGGAAGAGGGGCAACCGGGACAGAATCCGGCGCCCTGACCGGGACAAGAACCTGGTGTGCCGGCGCCGCAAGGCGGAGGATTAGCCTAGTGAGCTGCGGCGCCTGCCTCACAGCAACATTTTTTTGGGATTTTCAAGACCTTTTGCTTGCTGACTTCCCTGAGGGCCAAAGTATGGTAACATCTGCTTATTTTTCCAAAGTTAGTCAAATATCCAAGACAGCTTAATCAGAGTTCTCCATCACAATATTACTGTTGGTTCCCCTCATCAAGCAAGGGCAATTTTGCAAGAGTTCCAATGGGAAATCACTAGGAATTTACCATACATTCTTGATTTGGGTCCTTCTAATTTCTTTTTGTCCCCTAATCTTAAAAATCTTTAAAAGGCTGCCATTTTTCTTCAGTTACTAATGCAAAAATGACTGCATTAGTAGAAGAAGGCCCAATTCTTTAGGCCCCTGCACCCACGTGGGAGACCTGGAAGAAGCTCCTGTTTTCTGGTTTCAGACCAACACAGCTCCGGCTGTTGCAGCCATCTGGGGAGTGAACCAGCAGATGAACGACCTCTCTCTCTCTCTCTCTGCCTTCTGTAACTCTGCCTTTCAAATAAAATAAATAAATCTTTAAAAAAAATGACTGCATTGACATGTATACATTCCCAGGACCCTAAGTTCTTTAGGGATGGATTTTTTTTTAAGATTATTATTTATTTGAAAGAGTTAGAGAGAGAGAGAGAGACAGAGATCTTCCAGCAACTGGTTCACTCTCTAGATGGCTGCAATGGCCAGCACTGAGCCAGGCTGATGCCAGAAGCCAGGAGCTTCATGTGGGTGGCAGGGGCCCAAACACTTGGGCCATCTTCTGTTGCTTTTCCCAGGCTGTTGGCAGGGAGGTGGGTCAGAAGTGGAGCACATGCGAGGCCTGGAAGCTCCTGGCTCCTGGCATCCATCTGGCCCAGCCCTAGCCCTGTGGCCATGCAGGGAGTAGACCAGCAGATGGAAGATCTCTCTGTATGTCTCTCCCTTTCTCTGGAAGCGTGCTTTTCAAATAAATAAAAATAAATCTTAAAAAAAAAAAATCAAACAAACAAACCGTACCACCTTGGGCACTGGTTTAGGGGATTAAAAGACAGCCAGCAGAGAGGGGCACTCTGGACCCGCCCGTCCTGGATCTGAACCCCTCTTCCATTTACTAGCGGGTATCCTCTCTGACCGTAAAAGGGAGATGAGGGAGCTCCTAACTCACAACGTTGTCAGGTTCGGTGCTAATACTCCCCAAAGGCGTTAGAACTGCGTCTGGCACATAGCAGGCACGCCTTAAACATTAGCTATTATGATTGCGTGCAGTAAGACAAGCAAACAATGTTTATGGGCAGCAAGTCTTTCCCCTCTTTAATGATTGAGGAGCGGGGGAGGCAAGGGGACAGAGCTGCGGAGGAGAGATGTTGGAAGAGTGAGAACATTTTCTTCCATTGACAAGCAGGTGACTGAGCTATGGAAAGACTGGAATCCCTCAGCATTTCTCAAGGAAGCTGTGCGCCGTGCCTACCTCTTCAAAATGCTGAGGTCCTTCGAAGAGCAGCAAAGCACCCGGAGGTCACGTCCTGTGTCCTAAGAGGACAGTATCCTCTCGATCGGGTGATACCCAGAGCTGGAGGGGCCGGGGGGGTGGGGTGGGGGGTGGAGTGGAGGAGACACGGGTTATGGACTCTGGGCAAGTGCAGACCCCTTACTAAGTCCCCGTGGTCTCCGCCCCTCCAGGCAGCCCCCGCCCCCGCCCTCCTCACTGGACCAGGGCTCCAGGGGTTCGGCCCCCACCGGGCACCCGCAGAGGACGGGGCGGGGGGTCTCCTGCAGGAGCGCTTCCAGCTCCGTCACGTCCGTTTCGCTCGTTCCCGTGCACACCGTCCCGCACACGCTCCCACGCACAGCCACAGGCGCACACGCCCCTGCCCGCGCCGCCCACACCGGCCCCTGCTCCCAGTCACACCCTCACGTTCGCACACGACCCGTCCCACAGTCGCCAAGTCCCTCGGGCGCCCTCACGCCCGCCCCCGCGAGCCCTCAGCACCTCCTCGGGTCCCCACGGGACGAGCTCGGGTCCCGCCCTCACTCCGACTTCCCGTCCCTGCCGGAAGTGGGTGTGCCCGCCGCAAGGGGCCCTGGGAAGTGTGGTTCCCCGACAGAGGCGGGGCTTCCGGAAGTCGGTCGCCGCCTTCTTCCCCACCGTGGGTGTCTGGATCACCCGGGCGGGCCCCAGAAGTACACGCCGCCCTCATGACCGAGCCGCGCTCTCGAGCCTTCCAGCGACCTGTGTGCAGGCTCGGCAGGACGAGCCCGGGATCGCAGCCTGGGGAGGGCCAGCGTCCAG